CTCATCCGTAAAACAGGATGAATGACAGTGCTTACCTTTTAGGGTGGCTGTGGGGCCGAGATGAGCTGAAGCACTCGGCTGGTGCCTGGCACAGAGTAAGGGCTCAGTGTGTCTTAGCTGTTATCCCTCCTGCTCTTGGGGAAATGGCAGTGGTCCCCAGTGCTGCTTTGACCTTGCAGAATAGCTGGCACTGCCCATTAGAGCTGGCGATCCTCAGTGAAGGTGACTACAGCTGAGCTGGTGCTTGTAGAGGCAGCAGGGTCTGGCATTTGTGGGTGTAGCTGGATGCGCTCCTCCTGTTTGAAAGCACCTGGGAGGTGTCCCTGGTGACTCCCAGACATGCTCGGGTGGATTTTGCAGGGATCCAGGGCCTGGCAAAAGCAGGAGGAGGAAAAAGTATCTTTTTTTTTTCCTTTTTGTCTTTTTTACTGACCGGTAATGGGATCGCAACCCTCGGTGTCACGCCCGCACCGCGCTCAGCCAGTGAGCGGGAACCGGTCTCCACATGGGATCCAAACCCTTGGCGGGAGCGCCGCCGCGCTCCCAAGTGGCGCACTCTCCAGTGCGCCACCAGGCCAGCCCGAAAAAGTATCTTTTAGTTGCCTTTCTCTGAAAGCAAATATTTGCATGCTGCAGTTGAGAGGTTAGGGCTTTGAGGATCGCTGGCTCTTCTGCAAGCCCATGACTTCTTGACAATCAGACGGATGGAGGGAGGAAGTCCTTTGCCCCAGGGACTGCTCTTGGCAGCTGGCATCGGAGAGGACTCCCACTGCATCTTGCATCCTGTACGCATTTGGGAGCAGCAGCATTTCTTTACAGGGGCCCCTGCCAGCCACATTCCCTTTGCTATACTGGAGGCTTGCCTTGGGGTTTGGTAGAACTTAGTTTAAACCAGTAACACCCGGTGTGCCCAATTTCCATCTGCTCCTTCAGTCTCCATGTAATGATTTCTTTGGGATTCTTTAGGAACAGGTTACCAGGGAGAAATGTTATTTATATTATTTTAAAATTATTTTATTTATGTATTATTATTGAAAATATTTTATTTACACTTGTGTGTGTGTGTGTGCATGTTCACCTGAATGTTTTATCTCGAAACGAACCCCAGAGGCTTAGAAGGCATGACTTTACTCTATCATGTTGGTCCCTGGCCTGCTCCTAACATGTTGGGGGCCCAGACAAGAGTACAGATGGAGAACACACCCCATGTGGTTGCACCTTTAAAAATCATAAATCAAATTAACAAAGCAATTGATAAAATATATTCTATTCTTCTACCATAACATGGATCCCTTCAGAACAATGTGGGGGGCTGTGACTCCTCAGAGTCCCCTTGGGTTGTGGTGCAGGAGGAGCTGGCAGGACTGCGGTCTGCCTGTGTCCTTTCCCATTCCTGTCAAATCCTGCCTGAGACCACATGTGTGGACACCCTGACCCACAGTCCCAGCACTGGCCATCCCTACACACCACCCCAGGAGCTGCCCCTTTGCAGGCCCTGGGCTGGGCTGGCTCTCAGGGGGACACACTTGCAGAGCAGCTCATGCTGGCCCTGAGAGCAGGTGCAGGCTGTTTGGGAAGGAGCCTCCAGGGCTGGGATAATCAGAACATGATGGAGAAGTGGTGCTCTGGGTTGGCATATCCCCTGGCCCTGAGAGGGTCCAAGTGGGATCCTTGAGAGTGTAGGGCCCGGGCAGGGGCCCCTCTTTCCCATGCTCAAGGACAGTGGACACCGTGCACCTTCAAAGAGTTACTTAGCAAAGGTGTCAAACTAGATGAGCCCAGGTGCAATTTCTGTCCCTTGTGAGTAAACAAAAGCGATATGTATGGAAAAGCAATTTTGAGAAAAGAACAAAATCGAAACCCAAACTAATGAAATCCAATCTTAGGTCACAAAATCTTAAGCACTAACTACCCGATCTTCTCATTTCACAAAGAGCGCAGGTAGGAGAGTCAGCGTTTTCAGGTCTTTTTCTGATTTCCCCAGTGCTCTGGCTTCATGTTGGCCAACTTGTTTGACCTGCTTGAGGTTGAGCAGCAGGCAGATGTGTGAAGAGTCTTTTTTCAGCACAAGTGTGTCTGTTTCAACAAAGTGCTGATCAAGATCCTTGAGAGATCCTGGGGCTGCAAGATGCCTGGGAAATACGGATTGTTGTCAACCTCACATGCTCAGTGCAGGACATTTTTGAAGGCTCTGGAGGCCACTGTCCTCAGGGATCCTGCAGAAGAATGACTTGTGCTCCTCATCGGCACTTTAGCACCAGCCAGGGGCTCCCTCTTTTCTTTTTCTGACACCCTCAGAGAAAAAGCACCAAATAGTTTACAAGCCCCTCAAAGTCCTCTGGTCCCCCTGATAATTACCTCTGAATATGGATACAATTTTAATATACAATTTAAATATACAGGCTGATGATGAGAAGAAATGACTTGGATAATCCTCAAGAGAAGGAAATAATAAAATAGATATGGTGCTTTGGAATTAATTATATTTTATTTGCTTTCCTGACTTTGTTTTGAAGAATATAATTAAATGAGCTTATATTCCTTAAGCAAATTCGAGTTACCTAGGTAGTTGGGAAAGAGCCAATAATTTAATGGAAAAAGCCAACCTGGGGTTCCTTTCTGTTTTCCTTTGTGAAGAACAGTGATCTAGAAGTCGTTGATTCATTCGTGTGTGGTTGAAGATTAATCATATTGAAGAACTTATGTTATTTGTGTGTTTTGTTGGAGGTATTTTTTTATGACGACAATATAGTAAGAGGTGTTTGTTTGCTATTACGAAACGAAATGAATCTAAGACTGGAGAACGATTTGCTTTGTTATTCACTGAAAATAGTGTTGTTATTGCCTTTATTAGGGTTGATCTATTTTAAAACAAGGCAAAACAACCCACCCCCCTCCCAGATACATTTGATTAGCACGGCAGAGTTCAATACCAAAGTTATTGTACAAAGGGAAATAGAGATATTGAGCACTACAAAGACCTTACAGTTGTATGTTACACGACTAAAGAGGCTGAAAACGAAGCCCTCGGTTACCTCAAGTCTAGCACCTTGGCATTGAGTCGTTTTGCTTTGGGAAATGCCGCGGGGATGTGGCTCAGGCCGTGGGTGTGCCCCCTCTAGTGGTCAAAAGAGGTGGGGTGGGAGCTACGGTACAGATTCTTCCTAATTACCCACCCCCAACCTCATACAACTTCCTAAACATTTATTTATTTATTTATTTTTTAGTTTAATATAATGAGATTTTTATTGGTTTCTTTAGTTAATACCATTTACAAATTAAGAGCACTTGCCAAGAGCACTTGCCCCCTGGGTGGGCCCTGATGCACTGTCCCAGCATGCCTCATTGTGGGAGGGTGGGTCCAGTCCCCCTAAACATTTTTTTTAAAGGGTGGACTGCCACCCTTTATTTTTTTAATTTTTTAATTTTTTTTCCTTTTTGTCTTTTTTACTGACTGGTAACGGGATCGCAACCCTCGGTGTCGCGCCCGCACGGCGCTCAGCCAGTGAGCAGGAACCGGTCTCCACATGGGATCCGAAACCCTCGCCGCCCTGCTCCCAAGTGGCGCACTATCCAGTGCGCCACCGGGCCGGCCCGGACTGCCACCCTTTAAACTGCCACCCTCCATTTGTTCCCTAAATTACTTTTAATATTTTTCTCCCTGGCCAGAGGCTCCACGCTAGAGCACTGAAAGCTAAAATTCCACCCCACAGGCAATGGGGAGAAACATAATCAGGATACCTCTTGGGCAGGCAGTTTGGAGTGATCGGAAGGGGCTTACCCGGGACCCTTGGGGAGACTCTGAGCGTGTGATGTGATGTGGCCATGGAGCTGGGAGATGGCAGATTGGAGAGAGAGATGGGAGGGGGAAGACCCAGCACTTGCTGACAGGGAGAGTATGGAGGGTGACATCTTGATTTTGACTTTGGAGATACTCGTAGATACCTGGTTAGGCCAGTGACCAGGACAGGAGGTGCAGGAGGGGCACAGCTGTGATGATTCTGCCCAGAATCACAGGGACAGGCAAACGCCCTCTGTCCCAGTTACCCATCCTTCCCTGAAGCCTTTCACTACTCTCTTACTGGTTAATTTTGTCATCTTTTATTTTCTCTTTTCACTCATTCTCTTTGCAATTCCCTTCAGACATGGTGCTCATTACCAGATTAGCAAATCGTTAACTGGTTTCTTCACCATCATCGTGGATGTAATTTTTAAAAGGGAAAGATTTAAGGATGAGGCTGGACCAGGGAAAAGGGATAGAACTTTAACTGTTGGAGTCTGAGCTCCTTGGGAGAGCATGCGCTCTTCTTTTTATTATGAAAAATTTCAAACAAAGAGAGGAAATGGTATAAACACCATGGATGTAACAATTATGAACACTTTGATATATTAGCTTCATGTTTTTCCCCTGGAGTATTTTGAAGTACATTTCAGACATTATGACCATCTATCTCTAAAGAAGTTAGTATGTGTCTCTAAAAATAAGGACATGTTCCTATTAACTATACCATCACCATCATACATAAAAGATTAACACAATTCATTCAATCATCCAATACCAAGTCTGTATTTGGATATCCCCAGTTATTCTTTGATGTCTTTTCCCGCAAGATTTTATCATAAAATATTTTCAAACATCAGACAAGTTGAAAGAATTTTACAGTGAACAATCTATATATCCACCACCGAATTCTGCAATTAACATTTTGCTGTTTGCTTTATCATATACCTATCTATCTGTCCATCCTTCGAATCATCAATCCATCTTAGTTTTTCAATACACTTCAAAGTAAGGTGCAGCTAGCGGTACTCTCCCCCCTAGACATTCAGCATGGGGATCATTTTCGAGAGTTCAGTATTTGTTAGTTTTTTTTTCTTTTGAGGTAGAATTTCATAGAATGAAACACACCAATTTAAAAATAATGTTTGATGAGTTAAGATGAATACATATATCTGTCTAACCCAAATTCCTATCAAGATGTAGAATATGTTCACCCCACGGCCAGCCCGTGGCTCACTCGGGAGAGTGTGGTGCTGATAACACCAAAGCCACAGGTTCGGATCCCTATATAGGGATGTCCGGTTTGCTCACTTGGGAGAGCGTGGTGCTGACAACACCAAGGCAAGGGTGAAGATCCCCTTACCAGTCATCTTAAAAAAAAAAAACCCCAAAACATTTTTACCCCAAAAAGTTTCCGCATGTCCCATCTCAGTCATGCCCTACAACTCCAGGCAACCCTGTTCTGATTTTTCCCATCATTGCCTCTTCTAGAACTTTATACGAATGGAATCTACATAAGGCTTCTTTCATGCAGCATAATGTTTGTGATATTAATTCACGTTTTGTGTCTCCATAGTCCCTTCCTTTTAATTGCACTGTCCCATTATATGGCTTTTCTGCCATTCACTCATTTGTTGACCTGTTGATGGACACTTGGGCTATGTCTTCTTTTTAGTGATCATGAATAAAGCTGCTGTGAACATTCGTGTACAGGTTTTTTGTGGACTTGCCCAAATGTCTCTTACTGATGGTTTATTTTAACCATGATCCAGTCAAGGTCCCCACATTGCAGCTGATTGTTGTGCTTCTTAGATCTCTTTTAATCTGGGGTGGAAGGGATCTGGTAAAATTCCCTGTTGTATCCACAGCTCCTGTCTCCTGGCAGGCATGAGCAGACCTTAGGCTTATGGTTGGAGTAGTTTAATCATGCTCCTTCCTATGGTTAGGGGGAAGAAAGCCTCCGGCAGGAAATCTCAGAACTCCCTAATTAAACTGATTTCTCCCTGGCTCTCTCCACCAGGGAGTTGGCCATTTTTGTTGGTGATGTTGTACTGTCATCCTACAGTCACAAGGGGGCACTTGTTTGCTTTGTATGATTTACATTCTTCTGGCCCAGCAATGAAATAAAATGTTCTTCCAGAAAGTAAGTCTTTTAAGATTTTCCCTTGGTGTTTCCCGTTCTATTGAATTCAATGGCAACGATTGTTCAATCTTTCAATAAATATTTACCAAATACCCACCACGTCCAATGCATTGTGCTGGGCACTGTGGGTGGTGAAGAAATGCAATATTTTCTGCCCTTCTGACCCTGTGACCTAGCAGGGAGAAAAGGTAACCACGATATAACTTGGCTTGTACTTCAAGTCACAAGAATGGGATAAAGTTGTAGAAATTCAGGTGGGTGTCAGCTAGTATTGGGACATTCCAGGGAGTGAGAATGTCAAGAGCAAGTGAAAGGGCTGGAAGATTCTAGAACATAGGATATATTTAAGGAGGCTGAAAGGGATTAGGTGGTCTAGAGCTAGAACACTTGGAACTTATCATGATGTTGAATGCCACGGGGGAGTTTCCGGTGGGGAAGTGACCGGTGGTGGTGAATTAGTGGGGCGAGAGAGAAGAGGTAGGGGCCGTGGGGCAGCGCCGTCTGTCCAGTTGTGAGGTGGTGGGGGCTGTCTGGGGGTGACATTGGGGAGAATGACTGAGAATCCTCTCTGGATACTGTACGAGTGAACACAACCCCCTGGGAAGAGGAGAAAAAGAAGGCATGTTCTGGAATGTTCTTGGAGCACCCTTATTTTGAAGTTTGGTTTTTAAAGTCAAATACCTTTGTGTTATATGAGTACTACTCTTTCCCTCAGATGCTTTAAAGTAGGGTCAGTGGTGAGTTGTTTTGCCTGTTATAGAAAAAATTCTGATACTTGCTAAAATGGTAAAGCAGCCTTTATTTAGGACTATTGCAACTGGGGTCAAGATGGTCACAGAAGGAGAGGGATGGGGCTCAACTCTGAATGCATGCAGACAGCTGGGATTTTTAGTCAATGGGCAGAATGGGGATGGGTGGAAAATCACTAAGAGGAGACATCAAGGGTAGGGGAACTCTTGCTAAACTGACTGAACAAGGCTCTTTCTGAAGGCGGGCCAGGGCAATCAGATATCAAGCGTCGGGGGTTCTCTCTAAATTTAGCAGGATTCGTGCTAGGCAGGCTGAAGACAGGACCTGAGGACAAGGTCTAGTCAGAGGAAGTCTCAGAGGAGCCTAACTAAAATTTGGTCAAGGATAGAGTCTTTGTCATGTCTTGGGGATTCACCAGATCTTTTATAAAAGCAAATTTCAATACATAAAGTGCGATGTATTTTTAAGGTGGGAAGTATATATATATTTTAAAAGTAGGAGGTATTCTGATTATTTAAATGGGAGGATTATTAGTGGTGAAATGAATAAATAAATTTATTTTAAGCAAGATGAAGCACTAAATCATTTTATATAAATATAAAGCTTTCCTGAAATTATAAATCAGTGGGAAAAGTTTGTTTGATTTACAAAAATAAAGTGGCAGACAAGGAAACAATTTAAGTGATCCTTTGTTTTTACCTTTGTGGAAAGAAAGAAATGGCATTAGTAACTTAAAATAGATTTTAAAAATAAAATAAAAGTATCAAATGCTTTTTGGAATATATTCCACTGACATATAGCGAATAGGCTGATTTACATAAGGATACATGATTTATACAAACATCCATCCTCCCCTGACTCACTTTATTAAATTTAAGGTACAAATGTTTCCCTGAAAATTTGTGTATACATATTTTTCCCATTCCCCTTTGAAATCCCCCTTTTATCGCTACGGGGCAGTTCAGCCACAGTCTCTGGATTCGAATCCAGCGCCCTCTCATCCTAGCTGTGTGGCTGCAGCTTCTGTCACTATAAAGAGGGGGTAATAACGTGCTGCCTCATGGATGGAGTGAGCGAGCAGGGCGGGCACGGTGCCTGCACACTCGGGAGTAATTGACGTTTCTGGTCAATGTCTTTGACCCACGTTTGCTTATGTAAGACGGAGGCCCAGCCAATTAACTCTGCGCTGTATGTTAAAAAGAAAATCTTCATTATTCCAACTTGCCCATGGAGCTTTGGTCTGTCCCTAAACTTTTTCTTATATTATGAGGTTAAGGATGCGTTAGCAGCCCTTACTGGACCCGAGATTTCAAAAGACTCTGTTAATGCTTCTTTTTTACGGGATCATCCAACTTTTAAAATCCATTTGTCTCTTATATATTAACCCTCCGATGTTAAAAACAGCATGAGAGTGTATAAACCTAGGATACAAATTTCAGCTTCGGCATAACACTTGCAGAGGTAGAATTAACTTGGTAAGAGGCTGGGCAACCTGGCCCTGGAATCCACTCGGGGAAGTGGTCAGCTGTGGTTGGTTTCTCTGCCCTGCTAACTCAGCAGCCCTTGATGGGGCACTGGGTGAGTTTATGGTAGGATAGAAAACGTTTCCAGCCACAGGACAGCTTACCCAGAGGATTGGAACTCTGAAAGAATGAGAAAGGAATATGAATGAAACCAGCCAGATTTTGTTTGCTCCTGGTGGGGCAGTAAAAAGGAATAAGAACCAAAAATTGGGTATTGTTTTACCTGGAGGATTCTTTTTCCACTTGGCGAGAGAATAAGATTTGATGGCTTTAGATGAGAGTCACTGGCGTGGTCCTTCACAAAGTCATGGGTACCTATTCTTAGAAGTGTCTTTTCCCAACCAGCTGTGTCCAATGTAATGCACATCATTATAGTAGATAACGACTAATGATGTATGGACATTTTTTATTGAGATATTTCTTTATAAGTACATTTAGCCTTTTCAATTCAAATATAAGGGTTGCTGAGTGAAATCTCAAGGGAGCAACATAATTGGACATGACCAAATGTGGGATTTTGGCAAATTCAGCCAAAATTCCTGCCTGTGACTTTCTGGTGATCAGTGGAAAGGTGAAATGCATAGGAAGTGTCTTCTATTGAGCGTGAAGGCAAGTTTATACAGTACCCGAGGGTCTGGGGGGTACATGCAGTGTGAACATAATATCCAAGTTCATTGTGTTACTCGCTGCTATAGTGCGGATTTGCTGTGCTGGGCTCCTCCCGGGTGGTCGCAGCTTGCTGAGTGTCTATACGCCATTGATTGGTCCTGAGACATCTGCTCATCTTGTTTCCAGTTGTTGTTTTCCATGTATAACACTGTAGAGTTTCATTTCAGCTTCCATATTTGATCTTTCCTATTGTTTCTTTAGCATTTTTTAAAAAAGAGATCTTTAACATATGGTTATTGCTTAAAAAATTTTTAATCTTTCGATTAAATAAATAAATATTTAAAGACATATCCAATCTTAAAAATATTTTAGTGCATAGTATCAAAGTCCAAACAGATGACACATATGATAAATTACATGTTGCAGAAATTCTAACTTTGATTTTGAGAACTAAAGCTTTCTTTCTTTCTTTTTTTTTTTAAAGATGACCGGTAAGGGGATCTTAACCCTTGGCTTGGTGTTGTCAGCACCACGCTCAGCCAGTGAGTGAACCGGCCATCCCTATGTGGGATCCGAACCCGGGGCCTTGGTGTTATTAGCACCGCACTCTACCGAGTGAGCCACGGGCCGGCCCTAAAGCTTGCTTTCTAAAGTCAAGTAAGGCCTCGGGGTTACGAACGGTTTTAACAGTAGTGATGAACTACCCATCACTTGTCCTTGTCAATGTTGATGAATTACTGGTCACGATCACTGGATGCTTGAGTGTTCATGGACACGTGAAGATTATGTTCAGTCAAAAGTTGGAGAAATACTCCTGGGTCTTTTATATGCGTAGACAATGCATTATGAATTATTTGGATGAGATTTTGTACCAGTCAGGGAGTTTGGTTGCAAACAACAGAAATGAACTGGCTAACTTGAGCATCTATATGGTGTCCTGTGGCTGCCCTCACAAAGCCCTACGTGCTGGGTGTCTTAAGATAATAGAAATTCATTCTCATACTTCTGGAGGCCAGAAGTCCTCAGGGCCATGCTCCCTCTGAGGTCCAAGGGAAAAATCTGTTCTGTGCCTCTCTCCTAGCTTCTGGAGGCTGCCGGCAATCCTTGGCATTCCTTGGCTTGTAGACACATCACTCCAATCTCTGCCCCCATCTTCACATGGCCTTGTTCCCTCTGTGTGTGGCCCTGTGTCCAAATTTCTCTCTTCTTAGAAGGACACCAGTCATATTGGA